TAGGTAGTGAGGGATAGAGGTGGGATTTGAAACCAGCTCTCTACAACTCATTGTGCTTTGTTGATGTGGTGAACTTGAGTTTCTTGTTAAATGTTCAGAATCTTGACTTTAGCTCAGAATTAATAATTATAAAAACTAATTTAACTGCCATAGCCGGTTTGGCTCAGTGGATAAAGTGTCGGCCTGCGGACTCAAGGGTCCCAGGTTCGATTCCGGTCAAGGGCATGTACCTTGGTTGCGGGCACATCCCCAGTGGGGTGTGTGCAGGAGGCGGCTGATCGATGTTTCTCTCTCATTGATGTTTCTAACTCTCTATCTCTCTCCCTTCCTCTTTGTAAAAAATCAATAAAATATATTTAAAAAAAAAACAAAACTAATTTAACTGAGTACTATTAACTGCTTTAAAACTACTATCTCATTTGACCCTCATAACAAGTCTTAAGACAGTACCATTATTATCTCCCTTTACTGTTGAGACAGAGACACGGAGAGGTTAAGTAATTTGCCTTAAGCCACATAGCTGGTAAGTGAAGTCAAAATCAAAGCCAGATTTTTAATCACAGTGCTATTCTGTTAGCTCTCTTGTTCACCTATACCCACTTCCCTTCCCTCCTCCTACCTCCCTTTTCTTTTCCTCTTTCCCCCCATCCCATTTCTTCTTTTTCTCAACAGATTTTTAATTTGACACTGTTTCTGTGCCAGGTTTCATGCCAGGTGCTGGGAGGGACAGACCCACGGTGTGGTCAGGGCAGAGGCCTCGGGCAGCCCTGTCACCTGGCCCTCTGGCTGGTGCCCTCCCTTTGCCCATGGCCCTGTCTCCCTGAAATTCCAGGAGTAGGTGCTTTCTGAGGCAGGGCACTTCCTTTTGTTTTTGTTAAAGGAAGTAAACTCTGTGACGGGATATCCTCTGCTGTGTTTTCATGTTATCCGAGGGCGAGAAAAAACAAAACAGGCCTGCACGTGAAGAATGGAGGGAGGCCGTTTGCAAGCTGGAGGGGAGCCTGTAAACTCTTTGCTGAAGGTCAGGTGGAGAGAGACAAGCTAAGGCTTTCGACTTGGGGTCATCGTCCATCCCTGTGGTGGTTCCAGCCAGCCACTCCTCCTGTCCTGGCCTCCTCCGTCCAGGGGCCACCAGGACTGCCCTAGTGATTCCATCAGGACAGTCTTGCTTCAAAGCTGAGGAC